TAGAAGAACAACGAAACACAGATGGATGGACTTGAGTTTTTAATGACAGTGTTTATTTCTTGTATCTATGGGACACTTATATGTCTCCAGCTATATGCCACCATTGAAGGCAAACACAAGGCAAAGAAGACAGAAGTTTAGTCAAAGGTGCTACCTTCAGACTCTCAAGATTCCGTTAATGTAGCCTTACAATAAGGTCGAATTAGCCCATTTAGTCGTATTTCCTGTCTCGTTTCCCTTGGAGGACTGACACAATGTCTGCAGGTTGTTGGAATTGTGTGTGTGTGTGTGTGTGTGTGTGTGTGTGTGTGTGTGAAGCCTCCCAGGTAAACAGACAGGAAACGTGCCTAAAAGTGCTAATTCGACCTTATTTTAAGGCTACATTAACAGAACCTTGAAAGTCTGAAAGTAGCCCTTTTGACTGAATTTCTATCTTCTTTATCTTATGTTTCCTTAAATGGGTGGCATATAAATGTCCCATAGATAGAATGTATGTATATGTTTATTTATTGTATTTTGCTTGTCGTATTCTGTTTTTAATTGTATAATTGATTTTATGATTGTTTGCTACCCATTGTCCCTTGTTTGACATGGGCCCCTCTACAAATTGGATAAATAAATAAGTATACTTTGAATATTTTTCCTTCACTTGTTTTCCTTGCTCTTTTTTTTAATTTCATTATTTTTTTAAATCTGTATTTGTATTTTGGTTATTTCATTTCCAAATATAAATAAAGGTACAATATAAGTCTGTCTTTTGTGGAAAATTCTTTATTGCATCCATCAAAACCTTGAGTATAACTGAACTGAAGTTTTAAACAGTCAGGGAAAATAAGCCCATGGATTCGTTGATAAATGTTACTTTTTTTTAAAGTAATGTCTTAATAACCCTAAGGAATGTTTTATAAAAAGTTGTAAAGACCCCCAAAAACAAACATTTGTTGATTTGTTTGTTTTCAAAGCTTTCTATGTATATCTATCCCCCAAAAGAATAAGATGATAATAAACCTAAAGAATGCTTTAGGTTTATTATTAAGCCTCCTATACTACAACCTCTTACAATAGTAGACAACACAGTATCAACAATAGAGACCTTCAAGTTTCTAGGTTCCATCATATCGCAAGACTTAAAATGGACACCTAACATCAAAAAAGTCATCGAAAAAGCACAACAAAGAATGTTCTTTTTGCGCCAACTCAGAAAGCTTAGACTGCCCAAGGAGCTGCTGATCCCGTTCTACAGAGGAAGTATGGAGTCTGTCATCTGCACCTCTATAACTGTCTGGTTTGACTCTGTGACCAAACAAGACAGACACAGACTTCAACGGAGAATTAGAAGTGAGCAAAAACAATTGCTATCAGGCTGCCTTCCATTGAGCACCTGTATACTGCACGAGTCAAAAAGAGGACTGTGAAAATATCTACAGACTCCTCACATCATGGGCATAAATTGTTTCATCTTCTACCCTCAAAAGGATGTTATAGGGCATTGCAGACCAGAGAAACTAGACACAAGGACATTTTCCACCCCACCCCAACCCCCACATGCCATCACTCTGCTAAACAACTTGTTGGAAGAAATATCCATCTGGTTCAGTTCCAAGTGGGGAGAAAGACACTGGAAACACGGAGGCTGATTGGAAAGATGGTTTATAGATGAAGCAGAACCACTTGTGATTCTGGGCAGCTGACAAAATGGAGTTGGGAGTAGGTGGGGTTTTATATCTTCTTTGAGCTTTGTATTTGAGCTTCCTGTTCCTGTGCAAGAACATGTCCTTTAATTTTCTATTGGCTGTTGTCAGATTCCTATGGGGTCATGTAGGGGTTATGTTGGGGTCATAGCTGGCTCTATAGGCAAAAGAGGAACTGCAAATCTTAGGTGCTTGTCTGAGCTAATCTGGTCAACCTCTGGCTTATTGTTTATCTGAGCTCCCAGGTGAAGATTGGACTGCTCTGAGATGGTGCAATGAAGGGACTTGTCTTCTGAAAGGGTGTTGGGGAATTCCTATTGTGCCTAATGACTTTTGTCCTGTGTTGGATCTTGGGTGAGGAGCTGCTTCTAATCCTATCACTCTGCCTTTGTTAGCTGTCAAACTTTGCTGCAAGGAGTTTTGAAATATTCTGTCTCAAATAAATTTGTGCCTGCAGTAATTGCTTTGCTTATGAATAGAGGCATCTAAATAGTTGGGTTGTTCTTTCAATAAGCTGTAAAGTACTGGCATCTGCTGTGGGCCATTAAGAAAGACTTGGGGGGCTGCTTCTTGCCTCTAATAAACATGTTTCTCCATTTCTCATTTAGGGAAATATAAAATTCTGCCTTTTTAATATTCCCGAAAATATTTCATTCTTCTTGGTTGGGGGGGTAGGTGCTAATTCCCACAACACTGTTAAACTATTTATTAAAGCTGTATTTTTATTATTGTTGTTGTTGTTGTTGTTGTTGTTATTATTATTATTATTATTATTATTATTTATTGGTTAATCTTTAGTGAGATTCACAGCCTTTGAGGCTGGTTAATAGCTCAGCAGCTCGAGTCCTAACCAAGGACCTACGAACTGTTAAGGTATCGTCGGAGGATGTAAGCTGTTCCGAGTAAGGTGGTTTTTTGTAGAGTCAAAATGTTCAAGTCCGGCAAATTTAGAATTTCTAAATATTATTATTATTATTATTATTATTATTATTATTATTATTATTATTATTATTATTCTCATCTTTCTTATTACCGATCTTCTTTTCTACTTACGACTATGACTTTGTAGTTTGTATCTTTCCGATTTATATTGGTTTATTTAGTTTCCTAGTATGATTTATGTTGATTGCTTATTTTGTATCCTATGACTATCACTAAGTGTTGTATCTTACAATTTATGAGAAATGCATTTTTCTGATGTCTATGATGATGATTTATCACTTATAGCTTTTATGTACACTAAGAACTTATGTACCGAAGACAAATTCCTTGTGTATCCAATCACACTTAGCCAATAAAGAATTCTATTCTATTCTATTCTATTCTATTCTATTCTATTCTATTCTATTCTATTCTATTCTATTCTATTCTATTCTATTCTATCTATTCTATTCTATTCTATTCTATTCTAGATAAAAGACAGAGAAAGACCATGTAGAGCAGGAAGTTAAAGGCAAGGAAAGTGTTGAAGGAAGGTGCTAAGACTGAAGGTAGAGTCCCCAAAATTAGACCAGATACAGGTCCTCATCCATCCTCTGTGAATGTGGTTCACAAATAGTCTAAAAATGGTGAGAGAGTAAGTGGCGAGGGTGGGGGGAAGAGACGAAAGAAATGATTGGGAATAAGAGCCAAAAAAGAATACACAGAATAACACAAAATACACAGAATAAGATAGTTGGTGTTTCCATGTTGGGAACTTGATTTTGTAGGAAAGGTAAAAACAAAAGTTTTAAGACAAATAACTTCTTTTTCAATGTGGTAGATGTAATAATATTACCAAATGCCTAGATTAGAATTAACAACTATTATTCTCTGTGATTCCCAATATGATTGGGGGGGGGGAGAGAAAAAGAAAAGATTGTAAAACGGGGCAAAATGGAAGCATTTACATATCCAAATCTGGTGAAGTTTGAAAAAATAGTCACATATAAAGACATTTTTGACACTGAAGGGAAATTAAAATCTAAGCAAGAATTGGAAGTTGAGGGTATTATCATGGTGGCTTCAATTGCAAAAACAATCTAGATATGATAAAGACATGAAAATGTACAGCCTTTATAAAGGACAGACAGCCTTCAATCAGATATTGTTGAATTCTGATGAAAAACTAATTAAGAAAATATCTAATTTTTTTACTAAATCGGAAAATGGAGGATGAACAAGTAAAAGACAAAATGATGCACTGGGCAAAAAACTTTAGACATAATATAGAATAAGAGAAATGGCAAAACTTATCAGAAAGAAACAATCAATTAACAATGGCAACTTCTTCTAAGGAAAACTTATATAAAATGTTTTATAGATGGTATCTACCACCTGCTAAGTTAGTTATAATGTTTAAAAATATGTCTAACAAATATTGGAAATGTAACCAAAAGACAGGCACATATTACCACATGTGGTGGACCTGTGTTAAAGGAAAAAAAAAAAGAGGGCAAAAATATATAAGTGGGTAGAAAAGATGATAGGAAAACATGTAGATTTTAAACCTGAACTTTTTCTATTAGGTATAACACCAGAAAAAATTGATAAATAAAAATTGTATTTAATATTGCATTATTAATAGCAGCAAGGATTATACTTGCACAATACTGGAAAAATGAAGAAATACCACGAGACAAAAAAATAATTGGGAAGATACTGGATTGTGCAGAAATGGACAGACTTACATTGAAGATTAAACAAAAAGAAGATACAGAATATTATCAAAGAGGGAACTCATTCTACCAGTGGTTGGAAAAATGGGGTGGAGAATAAGAATGTAATTTGTACGGCTAAGGAAATAAAATCATCCAGACAACACAATGTTTATTAACCACTAACAAAATGTAAACAATAGCAAATCAACAAAACTTTAAAAAAAATAGATTGGCATGCAGAAAAAGGTATCTGCACCGAAGCAGATAGAACAGAGGGAGCTGACTCTAGACCCAGCAGAGTTCACACACACAAACATACACACAAACACACACACACACACACAAACACACACACACACACACACACGCACACACACACACACACACACACACACAAAAGCTTGCAACACAACTGATTTTGACTGGAAGTTGACCAGAAGCTGCATTGGTGAGCCTTGCTTAGTCAGAGAGCTTAATGGAGCTCCTGTAGAAAAAGGCAGGCTACATACAAAGAGCTTTGGCTTCTGTAGCAAAAGGTGAGAAAGAGGCAGCTTGAGAGATTTGTTAGTAGGTTCCTAGAGATCTTTGGCTGCCAACAGTGTATGCAGAAAAGGTGGAGCAGATCCTTTGGTAGATCCCAAAGGAGGCCTTCAGCCCTCTGGGAATTCTAGTGGCTGTAGGAGGTCATCCAGACATCCATACAGGGTCAAAGGTCACCAACTGCCAGTTGTCACTGAGCAGAGCCAAGATGTTTTCGAAGACGTAAGTAGGTCTTCAGAAGGGCTGCTCTAAAGAGCTTCTCCATGTCTTTTCTTGTTTGGGAGGTGGAAGGTTTGTCCATGAGCCTTTGCCCTGGGATGGGGAAATGGAGAGGGGGAAGGTAGAGGAGGGAAGGGAGGCCCTCAGGACTGGGCTCCTTCCCAGAGATTTACACAGAAGGAGCTTCTCTCTTTGCCCAGATGCTCCCTCTGTCCCAGACACAGAGCAGGTAGAGCAAGTGGAGTCTGGAAAAGGGGTTTTACTCCCTTCCATTCCTTTTCTTAGGTTCCTGAGATTTCGAAAATGTTGCAGAGAAATCTTCCAATGCTGTTGGGGGAGAATGAGAAGGAATGCCAGGCCAGCCAGTCCTTCAACCTCCACCTTGGAAGACGCAACAAATCTGTCTGGCCGAAGAAAAACGAAAATCACGATAGACATTGAGCTCCATAAAGTGGAGCAGCACGGTGAGTACACACTTTGGGTTGAAGGGGATGGAGAGGGAAAGGGAAGGAGCTCCTTTCGGAGTAGACTCCTCTCTGTAGGCATCTAGAGAAGCCAATTCTGCCTCTTCCTATACTTGAGGTTGCACTTAGGGGCTGGGCAGAACCAAATTGCTCCTGCTCCTCATGCAGCTTCTGAATCCACATTAACTTTCCATAAATTGTTCTGCTTCCATGAGACTCTTCTGGGAAACTTCACATTTGCTGAGTGGAGCCTATCTCTATCCTGGGAACTGGGGAGGGAGGATATAAAGAATGCAATAGGTCTTTCCCCTAAAAGAGACATAGCCAGCAACCACAAAAGCCTTTGAATTGGGTCTCCGAGGGAAGGATGCTGCAAAGGGCTGATTTTAGTGTCTTTCCTTCATCTGGAGGAGATCTAAAATTTTGCTCTGATTCCACCCTCTGTGTCTCCTTTCCCAGGTTTCCCTCCAAAGGACAGCCGAGGGAAAGAGAAGGTCCTCTTCGAGAGGAAGGACCTTTTCCAAGCAGCGCAATCAGAGCTGGCCTGTATAAGAAGAGACCAGGAAATAAGCCAATATTTGCGCCAAGTGGTCTCTGAGAGGAGGAGAGAGACGCAAATAGTAGGTACCCCTTGGAAGTAGAGGTTTCTTTCGCTGGGCTTTGCCTCCGGGTTTCAAACCCACTCTTTTTTGGCCCAATCTCAGTGTGGGGCAAAAGATTCCTTAGGATGGACAGAGTCTCAGAAGGGTTCAAGCTTTCCTTGTAAAAGGAAGCGCACTGGGGATTCTGGGAGAGTCCGTTGCCCTGACTGACAGCCGAACTCCTTTCAGTTGCACAGGAGCATCGCCTAATCCAGGTCCTCAGTGTGATCACTGCACTGTTTCACCTTAAGAAAAATGTGCAAATGAGGGTCCCAGTGCCCAGAAATAAAAATGTGATGGGGAGGGGGTGAGTTAAGGATGATGGGGAGATATGAGAGGGAAAGGGAAAGAAGAAAAGCTACTGTGAATTCTCAGAAAGTTTACCAAAAGCTCAAAAGGACCCTTTGGACTGAAAGGTGAGCTGTTGCAGCAACATATCAGGTTAAAACAGGCTGGGACAAAGAAGATGTTCTGGAGCAACTTAGTTGAGCTTGACTTTTCTGATTGTCTCCTCTTTTGTTTCCTGGCAGGCTCTGTTGCAGGAGCACAGCTTTGTCAATGGATTAGCTGCATTGCTGGAAATGTATGATCTCAGGTCAGTCTATTGTTTCTTTTATAGTGGGTGAGAAAAGTCTTTTTGGGGTACTCAGTCATTAAGAAGGGGGAGGGCATTCAGTTGAGCCAGTTTATCCTATTCTTGTGGGAAAAATGGAACGGAGGCTTGCTCATTAATATGGGCACTAATGTCTCTTCCTTCTTTTAATCCCACAGCAAGATAACACCAGAAAGAGATGAACCAATAGAATCCATGCTGATGGACATTTCCAGTTTTTATTGGATGGCTACCCTGGATGCAGAGGAGGAAGATCTTTCTGAGGTACCCCTTTAACCAACATTTCTGGGATTTCTTTCCTAGTGTTGCATGGATGGGAAAATGTTCTTCAAAAGAAAGAGCACCATCTCTTATGTTTCCTTTCAGGTGGAGAAGAAGTTGCTGGAGGAGGCCTTTGGCCTAACAATGAGGAACCTACTCCGACAATCTCCCACGACAGAACAGTTTGTTTTCATTCTGAAGGTAAGGGTCCAGAAGTTCCATGGTAGTTCGAAGGAACACTACCACAGATTGCACAAGTGTGTTTCGGCAGCAAGATTCTTGATTCTCAGAAATGAGAAAACATCTCTTTTCTTTGTCAATTCCACAGAACTTGGACCCACGTGGGAAACTCTTTTTGCCGGCGATAAACCAGCTCCTGTCCTGTGGAAACCATCATCCCAGGATAGATGTACGTAGCAAAATTAAATTAACATAAATTGTAGCCTTTGAGTCCCCCACAGCTCTTGGGACCACACCCTCAAATAATCTCCCTCTTGGTGCCAGAGAGAGTGCAGGGGGGTCTTTTTCCTCTCATTCCACCTGAGGAAATTCTGGGAAGGATATCTTGCTAGTAATATGTGAGTGATGGGTCAAGGGAAGGAGAATTACTCTCCAAGAACCTTGGCAACACGGTGAGGCATTTCTTTTTCTTACAGCTCGATCAAGTCCAGCAGGCTTTCCCTGATGTTCCCAGGGAAATCTGGCAGGCTGGAACCACCTACGAAAACATCAATGAAGGTAACTTTCTTGAGAACACTAAGGGGAGGGGGGAGGGTTACTTATGACCTGTCCTCTTAGTTACGACAGTCACATTAACCGTACACTAATTTCATCACATTTCGAGTAGTTGGCAAGAAGTTCATATTTACCACCACGTGATTCACTTCACAATTGTTGTAAAAACAATTGTGAAATAGAATCCGGTCATGTGGCAACTTGATTTAAAACTGTAATGACTGATCATGCAGAGTTTGATCTCCCTTGTTGTCATAAATTGAGGACAACTCCCATAGATCGAAAACCTGTATATGTTTTCCAGCTGTGTAGCAAACAGATCAAATTTCAACATCTGTTTCTTTCAATTTTCCTCACCTTTTATTTCCATGCAGGAGACCTAGAAATAGAGGAGTTGTGACCTCCACCCTTCGCCGTTGAGCCACCTATGAAGAAAAGCTACCATCTCAGGAAATGGCCCTTTGGTTCTTCCTTCTATCAATTGCATAAATTATGTATAATAGTTGAATTTGATCTGTTAAAACTTCTGACTGTATAATAATTGTTGGTATCTGTGTTTGTAGATCACTGGAAGATCAGAACTCCCTCCTGCTGAAGTTTCCCTTGGGGTTTGGAAGATGGCACTGGGGCTGAAGATGCTGTGGAGCAGACGCCGACCATCATCGTTTTTAATATGCTGCAGCAGGTTGGTAGTATGCAGGGTTGGACTAAGAGATGGTTCCGTTTCTGCAAATGTGGGGTTTTGTTCTCTCAAGCCTATGGTTGATTCTGCTTTCTGCCCTGTGATTTGTCTCTTCTTAGGCTGGGTAGCAGCTTGGACAGAATTCCACGCAGTTCCTGTAACGGACCTGCTTGCTTGGACCATCACCCGGCTGGATCAACATCTCCCCAGGATAGAAGAACAACGAAACACAGATGGATGGACTTGAGTTTTTAATGACAGTGTTTTTTTCTTGTATCTATGGGACACTTATATGTCTCCAGCTATATGCCACCATTGAAGGCAAACACAAGGCAAAGAAGACAGAAGTTTAGTCAAAGGTGCTACCTTCAGACTCTCAAGATTCCGTTAATGTAGCCTTACAATAAGGTCGAATTAGCCCATTTAGTCGTATTTCCTGTCTCGTTTCCCTTGGAGGACTGACACAATGTCTGCAGGTTGTTGGAACCGTGTGTGTGTGTGAAGCCTCCCAGGTAAACAGACAGGAAACGTGCCTAAAAGTGCTAATTCGACCTTATTTTAAGGCTACATTAACAGAACCTTGAAAGTCTGAAAGTAGCCCTTTTGACTGAATTTCTATCTTCTTTATCTTATGTTTCCTTAAATGGGTGGCATATAAATGTCCCATAGATAGAATGTATGTATATGTTTATGTATTTATTTTGGTTGTCATATTCTGTTGTTAATTGTATCATTGATTTGATGGTTGTTTGCTACCCATTGTCCCTTGTTTGACATGGGCCCCTCTACAAATTGGATAAATAAATAAGTATACTTTGAATATTTTTCCTTCACTTGTTTTCCTTGCTCTTTTTTTAACTTCATTATTTTTTAAAATCTGTATTTGTATTTTGGTTATTTCATTTCCAAATATAAATAAAGGTACAATATAAGTCTGTCTTTTGTGGAAAATTCTTTATTGCATCCATCAAAACCTTGAGTATAACTGAACTGAAGTTTTAAACAGTCAGGGAAAATAAGCCCATGGATTCGTTGATAAATGTTACTTTTTTTTAAAGTAATGTCTTAATAACCCTAAGGAATGTTTTATAAAAAGTTGTAAAGACCCCCAAAAACAAACATTTGTTGATTTGTTTGTTTTCAAAGCTTTCTATGTATATCTATCCCCCAAAAGAATAAGATGATAATAAACCTAAAGAATGCTTTAGGTTTATTATTAAGCCTCCTATACTACAACCTCTTACAATAGTAGACAACACAGTATCAACAATAGAGACCTTCAAGTTTCTAGGTTCCATCATATCGCAAGACTTAAAATGGACACCTAACATAAAAAAAGTCATCGAAAAAGCACAACAAAGAATGTTCTTTTTGCGCCAACTCTGAAAGCTTAGACTGCCCAAGGAGCTGCTGATCCCGTTCTACAGAGGAAGTATGGAGTCTGTCATCTGCACCTCTATAACTGTCTGGTTTGACTCTGTGACCAAACAAGACAGACACAGACTTCAACGGAGAATTAGAAGTGAGCAAAAACAATTGCTATCAGGCTGCCTTCCATTGAGCACCTGTATACTGCACGAGTCAAAAAGAGGACTGTGAAAATATCTACAGACCCCTCACATCGTGGGCATAAATTGTTTCAACTTCTACCCTCAAAACGATGTTATAGGGCATTGCAGACCAGAGAAACTAGACACAAGGACATTTTCCACCCCACCCCAACCCCCACATGCCATCACTCTGCTAAACAACTTGTTGGAAGAAATATCCATCTGCTTCAGTTCCAAGTTGGGAGAAAGACACTGGAAACACAGAGGCTGATTGGAAAGATGGTTTATAGATGAAGCAGAACCACTTGTGATTCTGGGCAGCTGACAAAATGGAGTTGGGAGTAGGTGGGGTTTTATATCTTCTTTGAGCTTTGTATTTGAGCTCCCTGTTCCTGTGCAAGAACATGTCCTTTAATTTTCTATTGGCTGTTGTCAGATTCCTACGGGGTCATGTAGGGGTTATGTTGGGGTCATAGCTGGCTCTATAGAGGAAATGCAAATTTTAGGTGCTTGTCTGAGCTAATCTGGTCAACCTCTGGCTTATTGTTTATCTGAGCTCCCAGGTGAAGATTGGACTGCTCTGAGATGGTGCAATGAAGGGACTTGTCTTCTGAAAGGGTGTTGGGGAATTCCTATTGTGCCTAATGACTTTTGTCCTGTGTTGGATCTTGGGTGAGGAGCTGCTTCTAATCCTATCACTCTGCCTTTGTTAGCTGTCAAACTTTGCTGCAAGCAGTTTTGAAATATTCTGTCTCAAATAAATTTATGCCTGCAGTAATTGCTTTGCTTATGAATAGAGGCATCTAAATAGTTGGGTTGTTCTTTCAATAAGCTGTAAAGTACTGGCATCTGCTGTGGGCCATTAAGAAAGACTTGGGGGGATGCTTCTTGCCTCTAATAAACATGTTTCTCCATTTCTCATTTAGGGAACTATAAAATTCTGCCTTTTTAATATTTCCCAAAATATTTCATTCTTCTTGGGGGGGGTGGGAGGTGCTAATTCCCACAACACTGTCAAACTATTTATTAAGGCTATTATTATTATTATTATTATTATTATTATTATTATTATTATTATTATTATCATCATCATCATCATCATCATCATCATCATCATCATCATCTTTCTTATTACCTATCTTCTACATACGTCTATAAGTTTGTTGCTTGTAGCTTTCCAATTTATATTGGTTTATTTAGTTTTCTAGTTGATTTATGTTGATCGCTTATTTTGTATCCTATGACTATCACTAGGTGTTGTATCTTACAATTTATGAGAAATGCATTTTTCTGATGACTATGATGATGATTTATCACTTATAGTTTTTATGTACACTGAGAACTTATGCACCGAAGACAAATTCCTTGTGTATCCAATCACACTTAGCCAATAAAGAATTCTATTCTATTCTATTCTATTCTATTCTATTCTATTCTATTCTATTCTATTCTATTCTATTCTATTCTATTCTATTCTATTCTATTCTATTCTATTCTATTAAGATAAAAGACAGAGAAAGACCATGTATAGCAGGAAGTTAAAGACAAGGAAAGTGTTGAAGGAAGGTGCTAAGACTGAAGGTAGAGGTCCCAAAATTAGGCCAGATACAGGTCCTCATCCATCCTCTTTGAATGTGGTTCACAAATGGTCTAAACAGGGTGAGAGAGTTAGTAGCGAGGGTGGGGGGAAGGCAAGCTCTGATGGAGGGTTTTAAGACTGAAGATAGAGTCCCTAAAATTAGACCAGGTTCAGGACCTCATCCATCCCAGTGGTAGAATTCAGCTGGTTCGGGCTGCTTCAGGCAACCCTGTAGTTTAATTACTGAATCGCCCCACCCCTTCCTTTCCCGCCCCTTTCAGGAGTCCCTACATGCCCCATTTTGGCTCCCAAGTTTGGGGAGGAACTTGGGCCAATCCTGGGGGCTGGGGAAAGCTCAGACAAGGGCTCTGTATCAGAGGCAGAGAGGGGGCCAAGGCGATCTGATAGTATGTACAGCTTCCGGAGTCCGACATTAGCAAGGCAGAAGACTAGTGGGAGCCTGTTCCCAGTGTGTGCATGAGCAGAGCTGCCAGATGATAAGTACAATTAAGAAAACAGGGTCAACTTGGGAGTAAGGCTTGGAGATGATTGGCCCCTCCCATAAGTCACAAAAGAAGAGTGAACAGGACGTGAGCTTTTGCAGGAAGCAATTAGTTCATCTGGTCAGTTCAAGCTTTGAAAAGTTCTGTTTGATTCTGTGTGAAGTTTGGCTTTGCCCTGCATTTGGCAATTAGCTCTCTGGCAGCGTTCCACGTGAGATAGGTGGGTATTGATAATCCTCCTCTGAAAGATATTTATCAAACCTTGTGGACTGTAAATGAAAGTAATTTACAGTCATATAAATAAAAGAGGTTTTCTGGGACTAAGACTTTGCTTCATGCTTTCTAAGGGAGCCTAGGTCAAAACATATACTTAGATTATGCATGCATAAAATGCTATCTGTAAGAGTCACTTTACAGTCAAAATCTTCATCAAATTCCTCTCTTTCTCAACCGTTTTTAATCATTAGTTTCATCTCTGTAGTGTTAAGAATGCAGTTTTTGTCCCAGATCAGCACAAACGGCTGCTCTCTGGCTGTCTGCATGGAAGCAGCTGCCACTACTGAATATTATCCATTGAAATTATTCACTGATATAGAAAGTGACACTGAGAATTATTCCAATAGCCCACCAGGGAAATGGCTGCATTTGCTTCTAGCAGGATGACTTCCTGCTTTATAAGAAGAGCTCTGAATCCCCATTCCCCTTGATTGTTGTATACTGGTGACACATCATTTTAAAATTGGTATTTTAAAATTTGACATTAATAGTGTTTATCTCCAGAAGCCTGTATAATCTTGTGTGAAGGGTGAAATTGCAATTGACATTTTGAATCCCTTTTACTGAAATCAGTTTGATCTTTTCACTGCATTCCCTTCAAAATCACGTTGGCTTATATAAGCTTAAAACACAGATCCAATAGTAATTTATAGAAGCTTATAAACAGCGTCTTTTCAATAAACAAAACAGGCTTGTGTGCTGTAATTACTCTTAATGCATTAATGCATCCTTGAATGTTATACATGTTATGGATCACATTTTTAATATACGATGCTTAAAGTTCTGCTAACCTGTTTAGAAGCTTTCACATTTATGAAAAGTTGATTAAAAAGCCATGGGAACAATCAGACTACAGTATTAGAAAGACAACCACATTAGTCAATTGCAGCAAATCTACTAATGAATCTTGTACTTTTTAAAAAAATGGTGGTGTTATTATTACTGTTATAATTACTGGACTCCTCTTCATCCAATGCTTAAAGTCAGTGTAAAACAAGGATAAGCATTTTTCTTCAATCTTGAAAACTGAAGACATTCAGTTTTCTCTAATAAGTTGAGAAGCATCCTTCGAAGTTGAGAAGTGGCTCAACTTCGAACAACTGGATGGAGAAGAAGCTGCTTTGATGGTTCAGCTGGTGGAACAAGTTAATTTATCTTCATTGCATAAATAAACATAATTTCATTTAGGGAATAATAATAATTATTATTATTATTATTATTATTATTATTATTATTATTATTATTATTATTTATTTATTTGATTTGTATGCCACCCTATCTCCATAGGACTCAGGGCGGCTCACAACAATTAAAACCAAACCAAATAAAACATGTTAAAATACATATTAAACACATATTAAACATATTAAAACAATCCAAACCCCATCAGTCCAGGCTGGGCAATTTGAACAGCCATGTTTTTAATTCGCGGCGGAAGGTGCGAAGGTCAGGGGCCAACCTGAGCCCCTGGGGGAGTTGATTCCAAAGGGTGGGAGCCCCCACAGAGAAAGCTCTACTTCTGGGGATCGCCAGCTGACATTGTCTAACCGACGGCACCCTGAGTAGGCCCTCCCTGTGAGAACGCACCGGGTGATGGGGGGCTGTTGCTGGTTGCATATGGTCCGACAAATATCCTGGGCCTAAGCCATGAAGGACTTTATAGGTAATCACCAGCACATTGAATCTCACACGGAGAGCAACCGGCAACCAATGCAAATCATGCAAGAGAGGTGTAACATGGGAGTATTGGGACCCTCTCATCACAACCCGCGCGGCCGCATTCTGTACCAGCTGAAGCCTCTGAGTGGTCTTCAAAGGCAGCCCCAGGTAGAGAGCATTACAGTAGTCAATACGGGAGGTGACTAGCGCATGAGTAACCGTACGTAGGGCATCTCGGTCCAGATAGGGGCACAACTGGCGCACCAGGCGAACCTGGGCAAACGCCCCCCTTTTGCTATATGTTGTATATGATAAAAAATTGACATTCAATAGTTCTGTGCCTGATTTGAAAAATAAAATAAAACATT